ATAAAATTAGCTTCAATATTGGGCCGGGAAGTTGATCGCTAACTACCAGACTGTCTCCATTGTTGACCAAACCTTGACCAGTGTACACTTATTTCTATGATTCAAAACAGGGTTTGGTTGCCCAGTTTTTCCCAACCACCTGGTAGCAAGTGGCAGCAAGAACAGAGGGGCCAACACTCTGTAGGGGAAGCTATCCCAAACAAGTTCTCTGAACTGAGGTGGGCATGAAGTGACCAGGTGCTTCCGTGGATAGTTGTCAGTCCCCTGTGTGCAATCCCTGTGTGACAGCCCTGTGCCTGTGTGCCAACCCTGTGTACCAACCCCTGTGTACCAACCCTGTGTACCAACCCCTGTGTACCAACCCCTGTGTACCAACCCTGTGTGCCAGCCCCCTGTGTGCCTGTGGAAACGACCCTCTGTCCGTAGGTAAAGCTGTTGGAAATATGGACAGAGAAGCAAAGGTCAGAGAAAAGCATCGGAGTGGTAGTTAGAGCAGGGCATGGAAAGGAACCGACGCGGTGGGGGAGGGGGTGAAAGCGACCTATAGTGAGGCTGCCAAGGCCACCCTTAGTGTTGCCTGCTTTTGGGACCTGTGGTAAGTGTCTGGTAGAGCTCACAGCACTTCACACACATTCAGAACTGCCAACTCTGTGAAAACTGAGGTTCTTCCTGCCTCTGCAGGAAGGAGCCCAGTGTTGAGCCTCAGGTGGTCGCCAGCTAGGAAGCTCCTCAGAGCCTCCCCATATAAAATGCCACACTCGAGCCATCAGAGTGGTGTAAAGGCCAGACAGCCTTTGAGAGTGCCACCTTGGAGGACACAAACCAGGGCTTGTTGGTGGCTGCTGTCTGGAAACACTCAAGTCTTAAGCATTTACGCCAGGGCAACAAGATAGAAAGCTAAGGGGGGATGATGTCATAGCATCGGACAGACGCCTTCCTCCTCCTTCTTCTTTCCAGGTTCTGGAGTGGACGAATGAGGTTCCTCCCACTCAGTATTCTCCACCAGCTGCAGTATGTGCAGGAGTTGGGGGCCTGGACTGTGGCAGAGTCAGACTCGGGGCTGAGGATGGAGCCAAAACTGATTTCTAGAAAGTTCCCAGAGAGTGCCAGGGCTTGGGGTCTCCATGGATTGCAGCAAAGGCTCAAACCCTACACTACAGGCCATGCCACTAGACGGCTTCTGCGCCTTTGGACAGGCTCTTTGAAGGGTTGGTTCAGCTTCCCTCCCTTCTCTACTTCCCTCTTCCTCCCTCCCTCCCTTCCTGCTTCCTGTTTCCCTCAGTGCACTGTAACGTCAGCTAAGCTAACAAACAGGCTAAAATTTGCACTTTTAACTTTTACCCAAATGAGGGAAAATCCAGGGTTGTTACACACACACATCACACATACCACACACTCACCACACACACCGTACACATACTCCACACATACCACACATAGCACACACACACAACATTCACACACATCACACATACCACACACACTGTATACTCACACAGCACACATACCACACACAACAGACCCACCATACACACACTCCATACATACCACACACACCATACACTCACACACCACACATACCACACACACAACATATACACATATCACACATATACACAACACATCACATACACATCACCATACACACACACCACAAAATCACATACCATACCACACATCACACACACATATGTACGTACACACACGCCACATATCACACAATCACACATGACACAATCATACACCACACATACTCATATTCCAAACAATCACACACACACACACACACACACTCACACACACCCTGCACTAAAAGTGTCCAGAGAGGAAAGCTGACACGTCAAGCTCTCCAGTCAGTCAATTCAAGCCTTCGGGTCTGGCAGGAACAGGTTCTGTTCAGTCCGCAAAGCTTAGACATCAGTTATAAATACCTGAGCCCATTACTGCCATAACACAGGCCTCTGTCATGGAGAAAAGATCTAATAATAACAATCTATGACACGTCTGGGGAAACGGCTCAGCTGGAGTGTTTGTTCCACAAGCCTGAAGACCTGCATTTGATCCCTAGAGCCCACAGTGAGAAGTCCTGGTGTGGGGGTCTGCCTAGTCACCCTGGCTCTGGGGAGGCAGGAAAAGCCAACCAGTCTAGCCTAACTGGTGAGCCCTGGCCTCTAAAAGACCCTGTCTTACAAAGGAAAGCACAAAGTGGACAGACAGCACTTGAAAAAGACCATTGGCTTCCATACAATGTACATTCATGTGAACACACACACACACACACACACACACACACACACACACACACGCTTTATGGAGATTCTTCAGGGTTATCATCTGAGGATTTTTGATACTCTCTAATTTGGGGGCACCCATATTTTCTGTCCAGAGAAACTGTGTTATCTGGATGTGGAGTTCAGAGGCAGCGCAAAGTAGCCACACAATGAGAAGGCCGTCCCGAGAGAGTGTTTTAATTGGATGGAGTTGCACACAGAGCTCACGACGTTAATTGCAGGGTTATGCAATTCTGCATCTTTCAACCTTTCCTGGTATTTTCATAGGACCATTAACAAAGACACCTCATTTCCCCGCCCCATCCCTCAAGACAAGAGTGGCACCTCAGTAACTTTGCCAATAGGAGGATGGGGATTGCTGTGGCATTATTTGGCAGAGCCGCAGTCCCCCATAGCAGTTCCAAGGTGGTTCCCAGGCCAGCCGCCTGGGGTCTGAGTCACCCACAGGAACGAGGCTGGAGGGTGGGGTCCACCTGAGAATTTAGAGAATCCCCAACAGTTCTGCCTAAAATGGGATTAAGCATTTCTTTAGGCTGCTCACAGATGACAGACATGTCTCTTTGTCTTGCGCTCCTAAAGAAGGGTAAAGATCTGGTTTGCCGGCAGCCAGCGTGGTCTTTCCTTGCTCCCTGGCCTGGAAAGACCGAGAAAAACTTTAGCTGTTGCCTCAGAGAGCCTCAGTGTCACTCGGGCTTCAGTCACAGGACTCGCTGACCACTCAAGCTTCTGTACTCTGCCCCCTGGTGCCTCACTGCAGCCGGGACCCCTGTAAGGACAGCCTGGAGTGGGACAGTTGCAAGGCCACCCTGAAAGCCTTCTCCCCTCCTGACCTGCCCTTTGGAGACCCCCGAGGGCAAAGAGACACTCGGGGCATGAGAAGCATCGTTTCGGGTGCGTAGACACCTAAAGCTACAAGCATCTGGGGGTTTCTGGAGTGAAATAACTACAGGATTAATCTGCATGGACACTTGAGTTTCTCACTCTTTGTGGAGTGAAGTCATCTTAGAGAAGGCGGCGGCAGCGGCAGCTGCAGCGCCTGGATCCCCGGAGCTCTCCATAGAGCAGCGAGCACAGAAGACAGGAAGACCTGTCTGGAGCCTCTACTCAGCCTGGAATTTGTTTAGAAGCACCAACAGCACAGAGACATAATGAGGATTCTATTAACAAGGGATTTGAATAATGAGGATTATATTAACAAGGGATTTGAATTGAGAGGCAACGTGAAGCACGCGTTGTGTTTAGATATTAATAAGCTTCATAAAAGATGTACAGCCATTGTTTCTCAAGTATGAGCCAAGTGTGGGCATTTGCTGCTGAATTCTCAGCGTGACTGGGGGGAAGAAATCCCTAGGCTTCTAATTCCTGCATTGGTTAAAACAGGATTGAGTAAAAGCAGAGCCTGGTCCTATAGGAAGGCCTGTGCCATTGGAGGTAATAGCCTGGGATTTGGTGTGAGAAAAAAAAATCAGCTTGATGAAAACCCAGGGAGGGCTTCCTCTGGGCTCAGACCTAGGGAAGTAGCCTCCGTGCCTGGGGCTTGGGATGCAGGCTGGCATTTTGGACCTGTGAGTTCAGGGGACAGGTTCTCATCGGTCTGTGCCTCGAAATTCAGGGACATTGACCAGAGGATGAAGAACCAGGTCAGAAAAGGAAAGCCACACCTCATATGGGAACTGCAGGCAGAGTAAAGTTTCACTTGTCAGCAAGTAAAACCGAGAGACTGGGTAGAGTCAAGATGTCCTGTCTTTATCGCCTGCCTCCAAGCAAAGGCGCTGCTGAAGGCAGAAGGGGCTGCATAGTGCTCCCCTCAGGGAGGAGGCAGGTTCTGGGGTGTGAATTAACCCCTTCATTTGAGCCTACCAGCAGTCCTTAAGGGCAGGAACAGTAAGTGAACCGTGCACACCAGCCTCAGCTCTGCCCAGTAAGGAAACTCTCCTTTCTTTGCTCTCCTTCAAAGGAACTTCCTGGTGTGAGCGGGGTAGTGGGCGCCGGTGTACAGAACAAGCCACGATTTTCTGTTTACCTAAAGAGATCCCCGCTAAGTCTGTCCACCGAGGGGGAGCAAAGCCGCCTCACCTCGGTTTTTATTAAAGTGGGCTTTTCATCCCACAGTTAAAACATTTTATTTCTCCCCCCACCCCAGCTTTGAAATGCCAGTAAGTGGCTAGCCCCTTTCCGGGTCAGCCACTCACGGAAATGGTTCCTTTATCTGTATTTTCCCCCCTTTCGGTCTTAGATGCTTTTACCAAGTGCCCAGCTCTCCAAGCTGATGCCCAGCAATTTAAGCGATGGGAGCCGAGCCGCATCCGGTCTCGGCAGAGAGTTGGTGCCAACGTTAAATTACTATTGAATAAACAGCAAGGCAATCTTTATCTAAATAATCAGTTGTTCCCCAAACCACAAATAACAACAGGATCTGATCTCCACTAAATCAGTGAAGAGCCGAGACATCAAGAAGAGACTGAGGCAGGGGATTTTGTTTGTTTGTGTTTCTTTTACAGTCCCTCTCTTCTAAGCTCTACTCAACTCTTTTTTTTTTAATTTAACACAGCCTGGGGGAGGGCAGGTGGAGGGCAGGAAGGGCATAGCTCAGAAAGTTTAAAAAAAATTTGACATCACTTAAGTCACATGATTGGCAGGAGCCAATGGTGATGGGCTGTGGAAAGGGGAACAGTTAAATTTGTAATTTGGGTTGTGTGAAAACTTCTTTGGGCCTCATAAACAACCACAGAACCACAAGTCGGGTAGCCTGGCAGTGTCAGAAGTCTGAACCCAGCACAGTGGTCAGCAGGCAGGACGAATCACACTGAATGCTAACCACAGGCTCTCGCAGAGCGGTGAGCAGCTCAGCCACAGCCTAGGCGGTGCTTTTTTTTTTTTTAATCTTTAAGAATTTGAATATTTGTTTCTGCAAACGTACTTTTCCCCCCTGCAAAGGGCCCACGGAGTCCCAGGGGTGTTAAGGTTGGGGGAGAGAGAGAGACTAGGGAGCTCTGGTGGGAGAGGTCAAAGCGATGACCTTTCTTGGTTTCTGCTCTTAAGGTAAAAGGAGTCACTGAATCCCCCCGCCTTCAGAAGAGGTGCATTTTCCAGAGGAAAGGATGGCTTCAGACAGCATTTTTGAGTCATTTCCTTCATACCCACAGTGCTTCATGAGAGGTGAGTACGCTGATCCTTTTAGATCTGGTTTTGTTCAGCTTTGCACAGACTGAAAAGGCAGCCAGCAGACCCTCCAGCGCCTGCCTGGGGGTCCCTGCCTGCTTGGGGGTGGGGGAACAATTCGAACAGAGGCCTGTGGTTATGAGGCAACTGGATTACTTATTTGTTGGACGCCGTGCTGCTGCGGAGATGTTTTAATAAATGCTTGGTTGAGCTGTTGAAGTATTTGGTCGCCGAGTGAAAGTTGTGTCAAGTGCTTTGGACTGCTCCTGTTTACAGTCCTAGAGATTAAAGGCTGGCACGGAGGACACTCTTTGGTTTTAGATGACTGTCCCTTGCTCTGAATGACTCTATTGGAGTTATTTTGAAGTCAGCAAGCTGCCTGGCCCTGTCCTTGAGTTCAGCTTGTCCCGGGGCTTACCAGACTCGGTACTTAGGCTGACCAGGAGGGGTGCTGCCAGTAGTGTGGCCTGGAGGAGGCAGCTCCCAGGTACACCTTGGATCTGCCCGGAGATTTCAGGGCCAAGGTGGCGACTCGCAGAGAGCAGGTTCTGGGCAGACTTATTGGAAAAATCATCCGAAGGGACTGTGGTTTTCTTTTAGCCTAAATTGCAGAAAAGGCAGCCGGCATTGCTCAAGACAGAAAAGCCAGCAAATTGTGGCATACGCAGCCTCTCTCTTAAAGAACTATGAAGCCATTTCCTAAGTCCACCCATTCTCACAGCTAAAATTACTAGATTGCAGACTTTTGGGTAGGCACCACTCGGGTCTTCAAACCTACTTGAGTTTTTTTTGTTGTTGTTGTTTTTGTAGCCAACCTCTTGAAATTTACAAAACTGGAGTTGAGCCATGAGTGGCCATGTATGTTTTGTGGCTCTTTCATGAAATGGGGACAGAGCTTAAGCAAATGAAAACAGAGACATGAAAAGATCATGAAGGCACAGCCGTGCATCAAGACACGTTCTTTGACCTGTGCCTGCAGTGTACGGCTTGAGGGTCTGGCAGAGCTGATATGGAGTGGAATGGGATGGGGGAATAGTTTCTTGTTTCTGACTACAAATGCTTATGCACACCCAACCGGTATCTGTGAATCAGTATTTATTCATACAGACAAATGAACAACAAACGCTTTGAGGATGCTATAGTGCTCAGTGTAAAAACCTGGGGAAGTGGTGTGTGTGTGTGTGTGTGTGTGTGTGTGTGTGTGTGTGTGTGCTCGATTGCAGGTTTGGGGAGTAGCATTTGAATTGAAGGAGAAGGAGATGAATGCAAGCCATTAACCAATTCCAAGCTTTAAATTAAAGGGTTTTCCAAATGCTCCCTTGCTGGCAGCAGGGCGGGGGGAGGGACTGAGTGAGGTTGAATCATGGGGCTGTGTGTGAGTCACCAATCATACAGTGTCCTGTAGAGGGATAAGCAGAGACACCAGCCCTGGGGCCCCTGGTGAAAAGCCACCAACTGCTCACTGGCTGCATTTCCTCTGGGCTGCCGGCAAGCAAAGGAAGTAATATTTGTAGAAAAATTCCTGGCTTATTCCACTCTCAATACACGCTCCAAATGCTTATTGTTTCCTATTTGGTGAACTTGGGAAGACAGAAGCAGGAAACTTAGAACATTCTACTGGGGAGTAGGTGGCCTTGCTGCCTGCGGTGTTGGCCTGCCGGGATGTCTTTGTGGGCCCAACAGCAAAGAGAGTTGGGGAGTGGTAACCAGGGATGCAGCAGAGCCTCGGTCCTGCAGTCCACCCACCCCCAACCTGGGAGAAAGAGACTGCTTACTCCCAAGCGGGCTACCTGGACGGACCTTGCTCCTATCAAAATTCAGGAAGAGCTGGGGAGATGAACACATGCTTGCCGTGCAAGCATGGAGGCCCATGTTCGAATTCATGGAACCTTCATAAAAGCCAGGTGCAGTGACGTGTAGCCTTAGCATTCCTACAGCGGGGGGGGGGGGGCACACGGACAGGAGCTGCAGACAGAGAGAGGCTACAGGCCGACTAGCGTGGAGTGCAGCAGGCCGTCAGACAGCAGAGGCCCTGCCTCGGACTACATGGAACATGACCTCTACAAGCACACTGTGGCACGTATGTGCCCACGTTCCCCACATGAATGCTCACATGCGCACATAGCATGCACATACCACACACGTACTGATTTATAAAAAAGAAAATCAGCATGGTTCATCTGAAAAGGCCTCACTTCCCCCCTCTGAGCAAAACGGAACAGATGGAGGGAGAAGGAGCTGTCAGAATAACATGGGAATTGAGCACTGGAACCTCAGTGAACTCATGGCAACTTCCTGGCTAATATCATTTCGTCCAAATGACCTGTCAGGGCAAGGGTTTATGGCCTACAATGGCTGTCCACGATACAATCCGATGACAAAACATGGCTTTTTCTTGTTGTCATTGTCGCATTTGGAACTGGGGCCAGAACCCACCCTCCCCTCCAGCACCTAGGCCTGTCGGCCCGGCCCGTCTCCTGGCCCCTGACGCCGTAGCCTGGCCATTCTTAGGGTCCCCCATGACTGCTCCCTGGCCGTAATAATTTATGGCTCCCCAGCAGCCACTGTGGGCTCCTCACAGCATCTTGTTTTCCTCCCGGGATGGCACTTTATCAGTCTCTGCAATCCTCACAGGAGGAAACCCGCAACTCGTTTTCTGCCCGATACCAGCGTGGACACAGGGAGCAAGCAGCTATGGGGAACCGAGCCAGCCATTGTTCCCTTTCTCGTGAGAGTCGGGCCAGCGTCTCAGACACTGGCACGCAAAAAGAATGCGGTCTACCACAGAGAACTCCCCTCCTCTCCCATCACCCCACACCAGGTTCTCACTTAGTCTGCCTAACCAGAGAGATAAGAGTCGCCTGAGACTCCCAGGAGCTGTCACACGTGGTTGGCAACCCCAGCTTGGTCCCCTCCCAAGGTGCAGCGTGAGGCCCCAGAGAGAAGACTATAAAGGGGAAAGCGCAGCCACATTTCTTTCTCCTTTTTTTTTTTTTAATGCCTCAGGTAGCCTTGTTCTTAGAAGTGGCTTAGTGGTCTAGGCGAAGCTTGAGTGCTGAGATGCCTGAGTTCCTAGAACCACGGGTTAAAAAAAAAAATCTCAGCAGTGCGGCTCTGTGTGCAAGTCACTCCGGCAGACTTGCTCGGTCGGAATCAAAGAGCTGAGGCCAACTGTGCGCAGCACCATGTGTTTTCCCATAAATACAAGTTTACCCCTGTTCAAAGACTTGAAGACACCCCCTCCTCACACCACTGAAGGCTTAAGTGACAGAAAGCCATAGATGAAATTACCCCTGGCTTTGTCCACCATGCAGAACCTGCTAGTGAGTAATCAGGCCACTGCAACGAAATACCACAGACCTGGGGGCTTGAAAAGCAGTGGCGTGTTTCCTCGTGCTCCGGAGGCAGAAGCGTGGCGGCCCAAGTATCAGCGGCTTTGGTTTCTTGTGAGGTCTGCCTTGTGGCTTGTTTGTTGCCTCTCCTGGTTCTCTCTCTCCTCTCTGTCTGTCTGTCTGTCTGTCTGTGTGTGTGTGTGTGTGCGCGCGCGCGCGCATGCGCGTGCACACACACACACTCTTTAGCACAGGCTGATCTAGCACTCACTATGTAGCCCAGGATAACCTTGAATCAAAACAACCTTCCCGCCCCAGCCTCCAGAGTCTCAGAATTACAGGCGCAATCTACCAGCCCCAGCCGGGCCCCTAACCTCCTTTAATGAACCCATCAGTCACAGCAATGAGCACTCTGATACTTCCTTCTGTCTGATGGCTTCTAGACTGCTCTGTACACGCACAGTCTCATTCAGAGGAAGTGGGAGTTAAAACTTGAATGCATGGATTTGGGGGTACTTGGCGTCTTGGCAGACCTGCCTCCTGTGGTCCGTAAGAAGACCAGCAGCACTTGTACATGGCCATCCCTGGGCATTCAAGACCAGCACAAGGCCCATGGCCAGCCGCTCCCTGGGCCTTCAAGAACCGGACCCTGCCTTCCCTGCAGATGAAACTCCACTTCTGAGGCGACCTACACATTATGAAACTAATTTGTAAGAGGTGTTAAAAATGTCTGAACTCACCCTCATAACCTTTGCCATGGTTCTCTGTCTCTGTTCTGAGAAACAGTTGACAATACCATAATGGCAGCTTCAGAAAAGTCCATAGTGGTCCCCAAAGAAGCCACCACCCTGCCCTGATCTCCCCGACAGGAATGCCCTACCTATGCTTCAGGCTGATTCCCAAGGACACCTTGCCAGCCGCAGCCAAGTGACTGCGTGGGCTGGGAGGGGCTACAGCCGCTCACACATTGAATATGGGACAGGAAGTGGGGTGGGACTGGAGACTGAAGAGGCTGAGTTTGAAACCCCAGAACCTTCTTTAAAAGCCAGATGCTCACGTCTTAGTCTCTGTGCTCGGCTGTGCAACATGGGAGGTGAGACAGGAGGGCAGACACCACCATTGACTGTGACCTCCACACTAGTGCCGCGTACACGCTCATACACAGAAACACCATGCACACGCACAAAACCACACACACTCACAGGCACGCACAGAGATTGGAGCGAATAAATAAGCCAACAAGCAATGGCCAACTGGAGGGTCATGAAAAACCACAGCCAAACCCGGAATCAAACAGCAAAAACCTTTCAGACCAGCTAGAAGCAAGGCGATTCTGGAAATAGACCTGAAAGATGGGTCCAAGAGGGGCGTGGCCTTCTGCTGTGAGGAGCAAGGCTGGCTGGTGCTGGGACTGGGGTGGCGGAGGGGTGGGGGTGGGGGCTGTGATGCTCACACTGGCTTGCAGAGAGAAGCCGGGTGCCTGCTTGCAGAAGGAAGACAGTGAGGTTCAGGAGGGTCGCTCTGAGCAGCAGCAGGGTTGGGAGCTCTGAGGGCAGAGCTGCTCAGGAAAAATCACCAGGCCGTTTCTCTCCTTTCCTCTCTTCAGCATCAGGCTAAGCCCAAGGGCTTCCTGGGGCCACACTTTCCTTGGTTTCCCTTTCATTC